CAACCCCCCTATCAAACCCTATATGAATGAAGCTTAGTAACCCATATTGTTGGGGCACCTGGAGATTTCCATGAGTGGCGGTTTCTACCAACACTAGGAAGTTCATAGCAACCGATAACACAGAGGATTTCACCCCGAAACAGGGGTGCCTAACCAAGATAGAAATTGTATGGCATAACCCACGATAAAATGGGGAATGTAGCCACTTGACACACAGGGGGCATATGCTATCCACTAGAATCGGAGATTTAACCTCGCTCAACCCTGTGATTTTGACCAATCAAACATTGGAAACAACTAAGAACAGTTACATAATTGGTGTCTGGACAATTTGTCTGTTTCTTTGGCGCTTGAGGCACCCAGGCAATTAGATTGTAATTAACGAGTAAGCTACAGATATCATAGGTATATTAGCCAGCTGAATCAGGAATTCAAAACTCAATTGGAAGAATAACATCACTATCATCCAAGACATGAAACCAGGTGAAGTGCTCGAAGCATGAACACGTGACATCCTGCGACGTTTTGTCTCGCTCCCCAATTAGGAGTGTTAAATTTCAAACCCAACCCACGTTTCACCAAACAACAAACTGGACATTTGTCACAAAACATGTTCAGATGTTTGCTTCTCATTGCCTTGATTGGTCAGAAATAACAGTCCACCTGCGGACAACCTCCAACAAATTTTGAATTACACTCAACATACTGTGGATGGAAGAAATCCTGCATCACCTTGGATGGTTGAAACCCTATAAATAATAGGATAAACCACCTATCAACTGGTGCAGGATTTCTTCCATCCACAGTACGAGTAGTCCAATGATGGGTGCCACCAGATTCAAACGGAACCGCGCCAAACAGCGGTGCCGCTGTCGCCTCCACACAGACGAACGAGTCCAAATCAATGGGCGATCGCGTTTCACCTGGGTCCTGGCATGGAAAATCGTTGACAGTTCGGAAAATCATCCAAAAATGATATATCTCATCTATCTATAGATCGTATATGTATATGTATCTGTACGCGTATATGAGCATGTGTATCTGTATAAGTATATGTTTTTTCGTCAGCGATATGCATTTCTGCATTCGATTGGTTCATTGAATTCATTCAATTACTTTAATGAGTTTAATGAATTAAATCCCCATTTGTATACCACAACAAAGATCAACGTAACAACATCTTTCATCTGTCCACAGGACGTTATTACACCCACCCCCACCTGTATATTAGATGGCAAGACCTGTATATTAAATGGCAAGACTGAAGGTTCCTTGAAGCTCCGCGGGTTCCAAGCCTTGCCCCTATATGCATAATATGTATATGCATATGTATATGTGTGTGTACGTATATGTATGCGTTTGTCTTGTATAGACGTTTTTAGTGGATACAATGTATGTATATATATATACATGTTCTATTTGATCTAGATGGATGGTAGATCATCTAATGGTACATATTTATTCTTATTTGATCTAGATGGATGGTAGATCCTATAACGGTAGATCTTTAGATAGTGAAAATGGATTCATCTACTCATCTAATCTATCCATCTATCAATCTATCGATCTATAGACTGATGGATGCATGAATGCATGGATGTATGTATCTGATAGATACATACACTTTCCAAAAGCATATTAAAATATCTATGCATATATATATATACACAGAGAAAGAGGGATTCAACACAAAATACCGTAGAGATGATCATATATGTATATATAGAAATAACATAATTCACCAACCTAAAATATCCAAAGCCCTAAGGTCCATGATGCGGTCCATGGTCCAGTTTTGATTCTAACCATCATCTATGGCACGATCCTGGTGAGCATCCCCATGTCCCCACCCTGTTTACCTGTCATACATCAGGAATCTCATGGACATCAAACTTATTTCAGGGTAACCCTGTCAACAGTACACTCCCCCACAGGTAGACGTTTGATAAGCAACATTCAGCAGGATTGATGTTTCTGTTTGGTTCCTTTTAAAATTATAGGATCCTTAGGGGTCCAAAAGACGACTCAAAGCGGGTTAACAACCCATGTAGTAAGCCTTATTAGAGGTTAACAACCCGCAATAGCACCTCATATCTTGGGCAAATGATGTCGAATTCCCAATCAGACAGATCTAAATACGCCTGTCCCCGCGAAAATGTGTGGTTTCAGCACCCCTTGCAAAAGTGATATGGCAGCGGCAAACGCTTCCTTTTTACTCAGGGCACTTGAGCCAAAAGTCCGGGCCGCGGATTGTTTAACCCTGGACCCTCGGGATGGCTTGACGATATGCCTACATGTCACAGTGCATGTACAAACTGTAGATTCCTTGAATTACATCTTTTGCTGTAACACTGTACCAGTAGTTAATTACATGCAACACACATACGAGGAAGGAGCCTAAGGCTTCACAGCCAAGGCATTGGTGGTGTTTCTACATGTCGGAAATTGGTGACACTAACCCTTCATGTGGTGATACATCTACTTAATCTACTTGGCACAATTGGTATATTTGCTTGAGTTTCTTCTTCTTCCCCTTAACATACCCTCTGGCAATTTAACGCAGCTATTGAAAATGACCATTAATAGTGGATTTTCCCATTAAAAATGGTGATTTTCCATAGCTATGTAACAAATAACCAGAGGGTATCCTCAAGGATCCCTTCACCATTCCCCATCGTCGCTCCGATCGCCCAAAAAACGCCCCGTCGATCCTCTGTAGCAGCGGCCCCCAAAAGGCGAATTTCCAGCAGCGCCGAGGTAGCCGATTTCACCTGGACATGTTGGATCATCTTCACCATTTAGTATCCATCTATGGGATTAGCATCAATAAATATTCTATATATATATATACATATATCATCTAGTATCAATATAATATGTATGTATGAAAAAATGTAAATATATATATATATATATATGTATGTATGTATATATATGTATGTATGTATGTATGTATGTATGTATGTATGTCAACTGGTCAAATACCGTTGATATTAGAAGGGTATAATGACAATAGTAATATTAATTGGTAATGAACCATTGATCTAATATCAAAAATCGTACTGATGGGACCATGTATCTAATATGATTGATAATATGGGTGTAGTAGAAATATGATAATAGCCATAATGGTATTCATTGATGTGCTGGATTATCATAATATCATGACTTGGTTGATATTTTGGACTTTGTAAAGAATGCTGGGATGAGAATAGTGGGATAATCATTGTCTATGATTGGTTTGATATGTGGGATTATCACAAAAGAAAAACACGGTTTCCCAACATTTATGTAGCGGTTTGTGAACTCCATGATACCAACAATATGTATGACATTTTACTTACTCTTATTCCAAAATAAGCGGTGTTTTGAAACGGTTGTTCGAGACCTGTTTGAGGGTTGCTATAGCTTATCTTTGGAGATTGATGGAAAAGTAATCTTTGAAGAGGCTCATACTGTAATTTCCAGTCCTCCCGCTTACCAGGTAGCTATACATGAGAAATACACACCTGTGTGCTGCAAATATATATATATAATTATTTATATATATATATGTTATTATATATATATATGTGAAAGAAAGACAAACAAAAGCATTGCAAAACTTCTAGATACTTGTAGTGAGGGTTTCGCACAACATGGTGATTTTCACACATGTCATGTATGAAAAATGCTGTGTTCACCGGACCCCCATGCAACATTAAGGGTTTCAGGATGATTTTCAGCTATCAACCAGGAAAATCACAAACAAAAACCAGGAATTCACCGGCAACAAACAGGCCAGCATGATGCGACTGATGACGCGACCAAACAAAACAGTGATCTTACAAAATCCTGCGAGAAAAATTGGTTGGCCCGCTGCAAAATGAATGGCCATTTATAGTTGGATAATACCAAACTAACATAGCTATTGAAAGCTAACCAGTAATTCCATTGAATTAACTTAGCTAGCATTTTCTGGTAATCTATAGCCCATGAAATCAATTGAAATCATTTGGAACGGTCTTGGAGAGACCCAGGGATCAACTTCTTTCATGGTGGATCTTTCGTCATCAACGATAGCACTGAAATAATTTGGACACAACCTACAAGTATCCATAATATATCCGCCAGCTGAGCTATGCAGTACACCCAACAAGTAAACGTTCACAAACCACGCCTGTTTTCACTTTGAAGGAGTTGTAAACAAGGCTAACGAGGGTGTGGTACTGGGCTTACACGGAATCATTGGGCAATCCGACAACGGTTTATGGCAAAGGTGTTGGTTGGCATTGAAAATCATTGAAGCACTGGCGGCTGAATGTGAGCCATATGTTTTTTTTCGTTTATCGGCGGGTACAACTTCAAGGAGCAACATATGTACCATGGTCAAACCATGGATCCTGGGGTATGATCATCCACCGACAGTAGGAATTCCTTTATCATGAATATCTCAACCCGGAAGACCATCCCCCCAGTTTGCAAAAAAAGCAAACTTTTGCAACAAACGGGTCTGTCTGAAAATGGGGTTGCCGTATACCGGTGTACCCATGAAATCGCCATTGAATGAAATGCGCAGACAAACCCAATTTTGTTAATGAACATCATGCCGATGATGACATATAATTTGTCTCATCTGACGAGAATGAAATTGGTTCAACTTGTTTTTACCCTGTTTTACATTGAACCTTTTAGGGAACCCTTACGTGTCGCTGAGTGACACTCACAATGGCCCGGTCATTCTCAGCCCCATTCAGCGCGCTGTTGGCCGGCTGGTAATCTCCGTGGACCAGAAAGACCTCTGTTGGTAGCGCTGATGCGGCTGGGGATTCCAAAATTGGGATCATCAAAACCACACCCAATTAAAATTACAAAAATCAAAAAGTTGTATGTCTCAGTTGGCCCTTAGGATTTGGAATCGTCTGCTTTGGGGATGGTCAGCAATTTAGGGAAACACCCTGAAATCTGGTTGATTTGCCCAAATGGGTAGGCTGAGTCAAATCCGGATGTGAGGCGTCACGTTTTGGACCAGCAGATCACTCAAGTTCAATTGCTGGAGGGAATGCGAATTTCCAGACTGGCCCGGAAATGCCCAGAACATACAATGCTTCTTCCTGGACCAACAGAGCCATTGGGAGAACACAGAGGTCCAGCATGCGCACTGCAGTGGTGTCACCAGGATTGAAGATCTCAATCCTGCTATGGGTGGCCATGTAGATCTTGCCAGCGTCTGTCACAAACCTTAGTGTGGTCAATCTCAGCCCCAAAACATCCCAACACGTGTGCAACTCTTGAGGTCAAATTTATTTCGCCCGGATCACGACCATTTCAAAGAATTTACTGGGCCAAAATGAAAGTGGTTCCGTCTTTAGTTGTACCTCAACTTCTGTTCTATGGCAAGCCAGGCAAAACTCGAAATTGATTCTTTTCTTGACACCCTCCGGTGCCATCAAACATGGCTAGCTGGGAAATCCTATAAAGGGATGTGTTAGTTTTAAAAAAAAACATCTATAATCGAGTGATTTTCCTGCAAACTCTGTTTGAAACATGTTGAAACCAATTTTGGGCAAGGCAGAAGTAATTGCCCAAAGCAACAACCCATAAGGAACATTTCCTTGCCCCTGCCCGACAACGACTGGCTCGCTCTGGCCCGGATCGACACGCAGTATCAGGCGCTCCATGTACATCTCGGACGAATCGCTGTCCGAGTTCTCATCTTCTGTATGCCCGGCGATGTAGAGAACTTCCCCTCCTTGGAGTTGCTTCATTTTTGAGATCCTGCACAAATAAAAATGTTCACGTTAGATTCACCTTGTGAAAGATGTAAAAGAAAACACGCACAACCTGATGGACACGCTTGATTTCAGAGGGACTTGACCTTTGAAGACCAATAAGGACATTCCAAGCGTCGGGATGCGAAAATCTTATCTGGCACAAACCCAGGCGGGAAATTCACAGGGACAGGCACCAGATTGGATCCGCTCAATCGCGTCACACCATCCCAAGCGCTTGACATGTTGCCCCACAGCATGTAAAAAGCACCGTCTGGAGAGCAAGAACAATCATTGATCCACGATCCTCATAGATGGTTGAGGCCCGGAAAAGTAGCAGGCATCGGCCCGGTGAAAGACTATCTGGTGGATGGTTTCACCATCAAAGATCGGATGAACAATGAAAAATATGGAATACCAAAGCCCGCCAAAAGGTACCACAGGAAAAAAACACGCAGGCCACCAACAAGGAGCCGGCATCTGTTTCGACCACTGTTGTGGGTTGATCCTGTTCCAAAGTTTCATGAGAGTCATAGACCCAAAGCTCATACCTGAAGGAGGGAAACGCGTTCCGTCTCATAATCAAATAGACTTCCCCCTGAGGAGAGATGGCAACTCTCTCCACGGTGCCCACGTCCTTGGCAACCAAGCAATGCCCATGACTCGCACTTGGCTTCCACCGGGTCAGATCTCCACCTGCGATGTAGAAATGACCCTGGTGAGAACAGAAGCTCTTTGTTTGCATTGCTCTGTGTGGTCCTGGGCCTCAGTCACCGGATGGAAATAGATGTACAGTAAATCTAAAGTTTTAGAGGCTTACCCAACCCGGTAATCAAACATCAGACAGAATGGAAATCTCACATTCATAGATGGTTTTCCGATGAAAGCCCCATAAAAGATAGCAGGTTCAATTTCAAAATACAACTGATGGGCCGGCACCAGCGATGAAGTATGGATGTTACTGGTTTCATCTTCCATTTATGTGACATCCGGTTGCAGCTGGGGCCATCATTGTTCGGACCTCCTGCTCTTTGGGGTGACAGTTCAGAAAAGGATTTATTTTTGAAGCTGGAGGCAGCCCACAACAATATTTGATACAGTTTTATGCTTCAAAAATTGAGTCGTTGCAGATTGTTGCAGTGGGCTAGGAATTATTTTGAGCCCACCCACATTCTCCCTTCCAGGAAAACAAACAACACAAAACCTGAACCTGTCTGTGGTAAAGCATACAAAATATCCCCAGTGACCAACGAGTCGTAGGGGGTCATAGTGCATCCCGAAAGGGGACTTGTGGAAGTTGGACACCTTGAAATAATCACATCCCCCCACGGCAAATTTCCCCACGCGGCGCCAAGACTAACAGATCCAGCTTTGTTTTTCCCAAATATGCCAAGCAACTCCAATCTCCTGCAACCCAGATGCCCCAGGAATACCATCTTGAAAAGGACCCCAGCTCAGGTGACCAGTCTTCCAAGCATCGGCGATAAGGGCGGTGATCGTAGTTTCGCTGCAATAATTTCAAGGCTTCATCCGCTGAGGACTGGAGTTCGAAGCCATCTTGCCCCATGGACTGTGCGAACACGACCAATCGTTTCAGATTCTCGGTCCAGAGGGATCGGAAATCGATATTTTGCAACAATGTGCCAAAATGGGTCTTTCTGTCAGTGCCAGCCTTTATCCATATGAAGAGCCCCTGCAGCACAATCTCTTCTCGTGTCACCCACAAATCATTTCTCACCAAAATGCGGGCCACCTGTGGGGCACTGAGTTTGGTGAAGCCTATCATCGTCACACAGCTCTCAAAGTTGCGGGCAATCTCAGTTTCACATGCGTGTCTCAAATCTGTGTGACCCAAAGCGTGGATCTGCTGCAGTAGTTGCAATGCAATCGAAACATCCAGTGACGCTCGCAGTTCCTCGGCTGTTGGAACTCTAAACCTTTTGTATGTGTCGCAGTCAAAACATGGTCTACGGACTATGGTCATTCAACCGTAGTTAGGGGTACTTTAGATATACAGTACTATACAGATGGTGTGTGTGTGTGTGTATGTGTGTGTGTGTCCATGTCGGCTTGCATTGCAGAAGGAAGGCTGGCGCCAGCAAATGGACGAAATCTGGGCCGTCAGGACCGTCGAGCAGCTCCTGTTTGCTCTTTCGTGGTCCCAAAAATGGGGCCAAAAACCGGCCCCAAAAACGGGGCCGCAATATTGCTGGAAGAAGGAAAGGCTTCCAAAATGGCGGCCCCGTTTCTGGGACCAGGGTGTTGCATACACAGTCCGCCCCCTGCGTGCAGTGAGTAGCGGAGACTCCGGAACCTTTCGTTTGTTTTCCTGGCATTGGGCTTGACAAAGCCTCATCCAAGTTTCACAGTGTATATATATATGCTATATTATATAACCATATATGTTGATATCACTTTTTTTCAAGAAAATAACCCAGGTTTTTGGCTATGGCTTACTTGGTTCCATGTTCCGGCTGGTTTTTTTTTAGATAATGTCAACCCCGGATTAATAAACCATGGTTTATTAATTAGGGGGGTACTCCTCCAATAGTCACAATATGATACTTAAATGCTACCCTCCCAATTAAACAGTCGTTTGGGGTTTATTAATCCAGGGTTGACATTAGTCTTCACCAAACCGAACATCAACGGAACATCAGAGAGTCCGATTCCACCTGTGCCACGAGCTCTTTCAAGTCATAGGCTTCCGCGAGCCGCAGCAGCTCCATCGCGACATCCACGGTGATATCAGCTGCTTCGCCGTAAAGAAGACAGAGAAAGGCACCAACCGCATCACCAGTGGCAGCGATTTCAATGGCTTCCTGCCAGGTCACCACGGAATACCCAGAAATTTATGACAATCCTACCAGCAAACTCTTGGGGTTGTCAAATATTGAGTATTGTTATGTTTATTATATGACATTATATGTTTATATGTGTTTCCGTGTTTTGTTGTGTCATGTTTTCGTCATGTTTTTGATATGTGGGTTCCAGGCTTGACAAACCAGTCTCAAACAGAAAGTGAATTAACGAATGACATGTTAAAATTACCACAAAAGCATGGCAACGAAACGACAAAAAAGACAACAAAGGTGACCGAAATGGTTGCAGGGAAGCAATTTTTGGGTAAGACCCCAACCCGTTAATCGTCCAGATTCGAAAATGAAACAGAAATGACAATAAATTGCCAATAAAAATCACAAACGACAAAAAAAAATGACCACAAAAAGGACTCAACAAAATGCCAAGTAATTCCTTGAAAAATGATGAGAACACGACAAAAAATGACAACGCAAATATAAAATGACACACCTGAATGGCAAGAACTTTACTCAGAAAATTGTAAACAAATGACAGATCTACTCCCTGGGAGTTATTCCCAGAAAAAATGACAACTTCTCCACCCCATCAACCCATCAGCCAGTGACACCAAGTTTCTCCCTGCTGTATTTGCTGCCCTTCACGGAAGGCTTGACCCAGCAGCGATTTCAAGCTATCACTGAAGGCCGATAAGAAGATGCGATGACAAGGATAGCTTTGACCATCACAACCTGCGTCGGCCCATCTTCAAGCTGAAAATGAAGAACTTGAATCCTAAGGTTCTATAATTATTCAGATTAGGATTCAAGATTGATAGTTTAGATTAGGTGGATGAAATATTAAAACTCAATTCTATATGGACTATATATAATCCTAAATTAGGTGGATGAAAAATCGAGTTTTAAGACGTTGCACAACATGCAGATGAATTGAGGAGTATCATAGGGATATCGCAAGGAGATAGTTGCAATATTTCGCAGGTGCCAAAGCCAAGCCACATCAAAAAAGAACTCATATGATGAAAATCTGTTGGTTATTACCAAAATGCATCGAAAATTCATCGAAAATCATCGAAAAACATGCTTTAAACAAATAATCAAAATCATCAATGAACTAAAAAAATCAGACTGCAACCAGCACCCAGCAACTCTGTAAGGTGACGTCACCTGAGGCAATCAGCACAAGTCTGCCTACCATCAGATTTGGGGGCTTCCATAACTGGGGGATCCCCGATAGCTGGATGGTTTGTAAAATCCGACAAGAAAATGAATGTTTTGGGGGGTAACCCCACGATTTAGGAAACCTCCATTTCCTGAATCTAAGATCGACTTTTCGTTCCCAACCGATGGATCTGTTACCAACAAGGTCAGCTTCATGGTTGCTACGAGTACAAAATATGGCGACCATCACCCATGTCCATTTCTTGTGGCTACCCTCTGGTAAACTAACGCAACTATGGAAAATCACAATTTTTAATGGGAAAATCCACTATAAATGGCCATTTTCAATAGCTATGTTAAATTACCAGAGGGTATCATTTCATGATCGGATCATGGAGCAACTCTGTTTTTTTCAATTTCTTCGGATCTTCGGAAATCAACAGCTGAGTTCTTCCATTTCTGTCTCAGTTCTTACATCCCCAGTGAAGCAACGTTTCCAGTGGCGCATTGCCAAGCCACATAGATACCCTTGCCGCCACATCTCTCGCATCCGTCCCTGTAAATCGGGGACATCCGCCGGCTCAATCTTCATGGCGGACGGGATCCCCAGAATCCCTTCACCACATGAGATTCGGTTCTTCGGGGTGCTCAAAAGCGGGTGGCTGATCATTAAATCATGTGACGTGTCGTATTATGTATCATTCATATTGATGCAAACGTATATCTATGGAATATTCCCAGTCGTATGTGGAAAGAATTTCGGATATATGTGGGCTGTACATGTATGACTTTTACATACTTTTACATTGCTTCTCTTCTGCTGTTCCAGTCATGTACCTTCACTCAGACTCGAGCCAGCCAAAAACAACGTCATTGAAATGGTGAAACAAATGGTGCTGCAAAATATGGAGACTTTATCATATATATATACATATATTTATATATATATAACCAATGAATAATGGAATTGGATATAAACATGCTTGGTACCACATGCCAGTTGTGGCCATTGAACACAGGTCGAAGCCCTCCATCCAGCAAAGGTCCCGAACAAAAACGCTCGATTTGGCATAAATCTCCCGCCAACATCTCAAAACAACAACTGGTTGGTGGTATACCTACCCCTCTGAAAAATATGAAAGTCAGTTGGGATGATTCTTTCCAATATATGGAAAAATAAAAAATGTTCCAAACCACCAAACAAACAAGCTTTAAAGTTGAAATGTGTCTAAATGCCAAACAGAAACATATGTTGGATATATCACAAACACCTTATTACAATGTGATAACCGAATGCCGTAAACCATCCTAATTTCACTCGAAAGGGTGGTATATCAACCTTTGGAAATTGCAGATCTAAGTGGAATTATTATTGGAGGATTTACCCTCTAGTACACATGCAAAAAGCCAGCTACGGAAATCCTTGGCTTTCGGAAATCATTTACGAATGGCAGAATTGTCCATATCTGTGATCATTTACTAGATATAAATGGATCTAAACCAGAAAAATATTTTATGAGATATTGTGTAGCATATTTTTGACGAAGGCCTGTGAAAATCGGGTGTTTGTGTTTTTGTCAAATGAAAGGTGGTCCTGTTTGAGTTGTTGTTGGCTTGTGTACATCGGGATGAAACCAAAAGTGTGTGCAATTCGATCATATCTATGTATACACAATCTATGTCTATATATATATACATATATATTTATAGAAGTTATACTAAGATGTGTATTAGTTGTTTACTTCCTATTCAATCCTAATGTTGAATACTTAAATCATCTTAAATCCCTATTAAATCCCCAGTAGTTGGGCTAAATCCTCTAATCCTCCCAATAAAAACATATGTGATAGTTGTAAAAACCATACAGGAAAGCGCGAAACTCATGCCTAAGTCACGCCTGTGTGCTGAAAATCTGCTTTCCCCCATCTAAATGCAATTTCCAGGAAGTCATGCCTATGTCATGCCCGCAACCCAAATCACCATCTAAATGCAGCGGAAACCTTTGCTTCATTTTGATTGACTGATACCAGTAGTACCGCACAAGGCGGTGGCGGAAGTTTCAAAAATAGTAGCCTGTAGGAAGTGTTGGGTTTTTGAGTTGCATGGGCGGCAGAGCAAGCCGCTGATATATACTGGGAAAAAAACAGAAGACCAGAAAATCATGCATTTCCTATGCGTTTCACAAAAAGGCACGACTTTTCAAAATCAAGTGCTCCGAAACTATTTTCAACGATTCCCACCAATCTAGGCACGACTTTAGCAACTCTCTGTAAATATCCATTTATCTCTATATATATATATATATACACATTCACTATACCCTCTGGTAAACGAACATAGATGTGGAAAGTGTCCCATTTAGTTCAAACATTTTAAAATTGTAATTTTCCATAGCAAACTGCAACATTATCTAAGGGTATCCCTATCTATTCGTTTCGTTAAATTCCAGTAAATCCATTAATTTACAGATGATTTTTCATTTATAGAGGGTATCTATGTATATATATATATATATATGTCTATATATATGTATATATATATATATTCCCTGCGGGCAACATTACCACACCCCCTTACGGGGGCCCCCCCGGGGCGGCCAAGGTGCCACGTCCACCCGTTGTCCCGCGCTGCCGCGGTGGTTCGTGGGATCCGTCTCCGCGGTGTCCGCGAAACGCAGCTCCAAGGGGTCATCCAGATGACCTGGGCCCTGACCTGCCAGGTTGTTGTAGATCACCTGAGCCCAAAGGCTGGGAAAGTGCTATTATAGCTAGATAGATAGATAGATAGATAGATAGATAGCTAGATAGATAGATAGATAGCTAGATAGATAGATAGATAGATATATGATATGGAATATGTTGGTCATTTTGCCATGGAGCCATGGTTTCTAGGATAAGTGAATATACCCTCTGGTTTTTTAACAAAACATAGCGAACTGGAAGCCATGACCCATTTCTAGATGAACCAAAGGGTGATGTTCCATAGCTATGTTAACCAAAGGGTATGTGTATATATATATGGTTATTTAACATATGGTATATATATGGTATATATTAATATCATATATCATATATATACATATGAGAGATTATATGACTAAGTCAACTGATATATGATATTAATATACATATATATATGTATATATAATGACTAACAATATTATCTGATATGTGATGTATGATATGACTAAGTTTATTGTTTTTGATATATACAACTAATCGGATGTGTAGTTATGTGTATATAACTTATGTTGGATATGATATGTGTATTAACAGTTCGACCCTGGCAGTCATCGGGGTTGGTTAAGGTGAGTTTCCACAAAAGATATGGGTGATTTTGACTCTTATTACATTCCATGAAATCTCATATGTTCGTTGGTTGAAATCTTCATTTTCCTATGGTTTCCACTCAACATCGGTTGTTTTCCTATGGTCAAACTGTGAATTTACCAGAGGTTAAACCTTTTTTCAGTGCCGACATGCAACGTTGTGTTTGGTGAGTGCCAATGGGACGCCCATGTCGACCACTTCGTGAGCCTGGTTCGCCTGCAGCGAAGGTTGCAGGCCCCGGACGTTGTAGATGTCAGGGATGGATATATATATACATATATATGTATATATATACATATATATATGTATATATATATGTATATATATGTATACATATGTATATATATATACATACATATATATATATATATATACATATATATATATATACATATCTGGGTAAATTGTAAGATTTCACTAACCTGAATTAAGGCCACTGATCTTCTCTTTGGCCGGATTAAGGCCATTTGAGGATGATGTCCCTATTGTTTCCCCTACTAACCATCATTCCAGTGAGGTCGCAGTGAGGTCGTTACAATTTACCAATATATATATACGTATATATGTCAATAAGATCTAGTTCGCATCCTGGAGGTTGCTATTTATGGTTTCTGGTGATCCATCGTATATACCATTTGTTTAGTCAGTTTTGCTTTACCAGTTTTTCCCAAACAGTGGTTATTACTATTTTCATGCTTTACCCATTAATGTTTATCGAGTTGCATTACATTATAGTAAGCCCAAAAGATGCCGAATAGTGGGACACTCCAGGAATATGTGTATATATATATGAACAAATATCATATGTAGTTCATATGTGCATATATATATATACACATATCCTTAGGTGTATGTGTATGCATATATATAGGCACTGCCATGAAGCTTGGTGATAGAGTTCCCTCCCCAAAAAGAAACAAATCTCTGGCAGAATATTCCCATGTGCAGTGTTCAATGGTAACCATCGGGATATTGACTTGCAAATGTTGCAATTTATCTCTTCGTGTCGGTGCAAACAAACACATTGTACAAAAACATAGGATAACATAGGTACCATTGAGCAAAATGTGCGAATCCTAGGATTGAGTTGGTTTCTTCATGCCATCTTTAGTTCATAAATCCGCTCTTCACCTCAGTGGTGATGTTCATCCTCGTGCAGACCCAATAGAGAGTAGGGCATGACCACACGCACATCATTGGCAAAGGACAACTGGGTCCCAAGTGTCCCAAGAAGTAACTGGCGTATAATCCAGCAAAATTGGGATACCCTCTGGTGAACCAACATAGCCCTGGATAACAGCCCATAGATGATTTACCTGTATAGAAAATGGTAATGTTCCTTCCGTTATGTTAGTTTACTGGAGGGTATAGCAAGGGTGTACCAAAAGTTCAGATCGCTGACGGCGTGCAACCATTTGTATCCATTTGTACTCAGCATACTGTATATACAATTATACAGTAGATTGTGTGCATTACCTGTTGCTGTTTGTTGAACAAAATTTGTTGAAACCGCTATGTTGTGATCGGTTGGGAGACCCAGTCCGTTTCATGATTTTAGCCTATGTTTGCTGTTTCAATCCCATGGGAGAGTGGTCAAATCCTTTTGTGATAGGTGCAAGGCAAATTCTATCATGGGTGACAAAAAAAAACTACTGGCGTCAACGCCGGGCCACAAATCTCTAATCATTGATCTTGACTTATGATCAAATCATCTTGAATCATACATCTAAAATTTGATGTGGGGATGGGTCAAAACCCTGGTACCCAGTGAAACCCCAAAATAGCTGGTAAATGGATGTTCATCCCACTAAAAATGTATCTATAGGTATTGACCCATAGCCATGTGTTTTCATCCCTCTGCTAGCTTAAAGTGCTTTTGTCGCTAATGTTTCATGGTTAAATCCCCATCTTCCAGTCAACAAAAGGCCTCTTCCGGCTGTGCCGAAGGTTTTTTCTGAGGCACCGTGGGGGGCATAGCCTGCAAGGCGGTTCACGAAGTTCACTAGTAGTTCACTAGGGTTTATGGTAAGCCAACTATGTTTGATGGCTTTATACACCAACTTGCAACTGTGGGTTTCCACACTTTGCAGTACCCCTTGATTCGGGGTCACGATTGTTGGGTAATCTGTTTTAGCATACTCGTTGGGTGGTTACATATCCACTATCATACCCAATGCTTGTTTACAGCAAATGCCCATCATCTCACTATATATCAACATATTTACTGAACATGTGCCCATTGTTTAGATCTATTGCACCTGCTCATTGACTGTAAATGCAAATATATAAGCATCCAATATCCTCA